ATTGCTGGAATATTTCTGGTGTATCCAACGGTGATATTGCTGGAATATTGCTAACAGCGGCATAAAACCCAGCTCACTCACTTACGGTTACAAGAGTTGTAGTGCTTAGATCTTTTTGTGCTGCTAGCCCCAGGGCCCTGTTTCACAAAGCGATGTTAGCACTACGACTGTCATAACTCTATGTTATAGTATAGGAGCTATGATAGTCGTAGCGCTATGATCTCTTTGTGCAACGTGGCCCAAGTCAGTGGATCAGCATGCAGATGGAGGAATAAGCGATGTTAGTACTACGTCTGTCGTAACTCTATGTAGGCGTGGCAGCTATATAGTATGAAGGAGGATAAGCGTAATGGCGCTATTGGTTATATAGGTCAGGTCAGTTGATCAGCATGCAGATGGAGGAATAAGCGGTGGAGGAATGATTATTGACATTTACTAATTAATTGACATTAATGTCATTTTAGATCTGACATTTACACCTGAGACAAGCTGCCAATACAATCTGTCAATGTATTGAGCCAGTCTAAGTAAACTTAGGTTCAGTATTATTCGTTACACGGCTATACTGAGTCTAACAAACCTAGTAGGAGATCGCGTCAGCTAACCTTTTTCACGGACCAATCAGAACACAACTTACCAAATTGGGAAAGTTAACATTTGCACATACCATCTGAACCTTTACCTCAAAAACCTGAACCATTCTGAATTCTATTTTTCGTTTCCGAGTGATACATATGGAAGGTACAATGAGTAAAAAGTCGCTGAAACTAGCGTTTTTGTCAATATTCAAGGATGTCATCTTGCGGAAATATAAGCTAATAGTAACCATGTCATTGGAAACCCCTAAGTGCACTGCAGGTCAAATATCTGGGTTTTATGTAGATTTTGGTTTGTTGATAGATCAGTGTCAGCAACCAGGAAAGAGAAAATCCAAAAACTGTTTTGTAAGTCCCGCCTAACCCTAACAAGTAGTTGTTGTTTGATTGGTTAAATCTGTTCGGCTGTCTCGCGTTTGATTGTACGGTCATAGGTCGCTCAAAGGTTAGCTGACGCTAGATAAGTGGCCTTATTATCATTATTATTTTTATTATTATTAGACATAATATGTTGGATGCTGACATATCCAATTATATTAGAATTTTATTTGTATTTATAGGTAAAATCGTTTTCTGATTTTCATATTAAGATCATAACAGTTCTCGATTTAGTGCTTTGTTGCTTGCACTGGTGCAACCCAATATTGCAAAGTACACCTTAGTTATTAGTATAACTTGCACCAGGTGCAGTTCAAGTTAAGAGTGGGTGAACTGAATAAAAATCGAAATAATTTAGCATTTGTCTTTCATTACATATTGCAATACAAGCAGTGCTCTTTAGGGGTAGGAGTCGTTCAGTGGGTGAAGTAGCCTAGTGGTTAAAGCATTCACTGACATTATCAGACAATCGTTTTTGATGACGTCAATTATCCCGTCACTTTCGCCATTCTAGTCTGCCGAAAACCCACGGTTTTATTCCACACATGGGTACAATGTGTGAAGCCCATTCCCTGTGTGTCCCCAAATGCGTGATATTGCTGGAATATTGCTAAAATCAGCGTAAAATCAAATGGTCACATTCACTTTATATGAATTAAGTAATTAAGTTTTTTTTTGGTAAGATGTATACTCTCTTTTAAAACCAGAAATGACTTAAAAATAACTTAATGATGATGAGTTATTTTTACGCATCTGATTAGGCTCGTTGACTTGGTTGACACATGTCATCGCTATACATGGTGAATGAAGCGAACACATCCCAATTGCATAGATCAATGGTCATCCTGTGGATCACTGGATTGTCTGGTCCAGACTTCATTATTTACTGACCGCTGCCATACAGCTGAAATATTACTGAGAGCAGCATTCAACAAAAAACAAATAAACAAACCTTTAGACTCCTACAAATCATTTTTATGATTAATCACTTGAGATGCCAATAAATAACCTAAATAATAATGATTCAAGACATCTCTATTCAGGGCTCGATTTAGTGCTTTGTTGCTTGCACTGGTGCAACTCAATATTATAAAGTGCAACCTAGTTATTAGTCTAACTTGCACCAGGTGCAAGTCAATTTTTGAGAGGGTAACGTTCTGAATAAACATCTTAATAATTTAATAGCACATTTCTTTCATTACATATTGCAATAAAAGCAGTGCAACTGGAATTTGGCTGGTGCAACTATGTTTTTATCTTAGGTTGCACCTGGTGCAAGTAGGTTAACATCTCTTAAATCGAGCCCTGCTATTTAATATACCTCAGTTTTATCTGGATTTGCAATGAAGTGATCTAACAAAGCCATTTGAATAATAATTTACAACAGAAGACTTCAGCGGGACTGTCCAACGCCTTGTGTTTGGATAATATAATAAAGTTGCCACTGATTCAGTGCAAACCTCAACACCTAAGTGTGCTCAGACATCGCTCAACAACTGCATTACAGGTAGACGATCTTGATCAAATGTACCTAGCTGTACCTGAGTGTCTGGGTGTTGAAGGACTGTAAATCTTTCCCTTGATTACTGAATATAGCTGTACCTACCAACATGAAATATTCTTCTACCAGTGCTTCACAATGCAAATGAACCGATTTACCCTGAGAGGAATTCAAAATTCTCCATGTACAAAAACAGAATTAGCCTTGCCAGATTACCTGAATAAAAGGGAATTTTTCTGAAATGTGCTTTCTGTTTTGTGAGCCTCAGAAAATCCCTTCACCTCTGAACCCCAAAATAACATAGTATCTCATGGATGTGAATAATTTGTACTGTATATAGGTTGACTGTGAGGATTATACCTGAATGAACTTAAAAGTGAAAAAATGGCTATTGTTGCCTGTCCCGATAAGGTCTTTGAAGTGGCTGAGAACCTACCTGTGTATGAGAATACAATACTGGGACATTTGAAAATGTTATCCGAGTCATCTGAGTATTATCCTCAATCAAATGTGATGTGATCAAATAATTTTTACAGAAGTTTGCACATCAGTTGAAATCTAATGGTTTGAGAAATGGTTGGATAAAGTGGTCCGAATGTCCATCCATCGTTCTGTCTGACTTTTTTCCGTTTCCGTAGCAGATCTTGTAAATTGTTGAATATTTCTTGTTGAAACATGCTATAAAAATCAATTAAATTGTGAAGAGCTGCCTTTTGATGATTTGGGATATTTGTTATTTTTTCTTTTCGTGTGTTCATAACGGGTTTGCAGAAGTCCAAACTTGTTGCATATTTCTGGGTCTTTTGATAATATGAGATACTGACAGTAATGAGCGGCATTATTCTTTTCATCAATGAACTGGAGGTATCCAAGGTGACTGATATCTGACAAAAACAACTGACCAATCAGATAACTTAATTTTTCAAGGAAACAATGGCACACTTACAAAATGTTGATGGTCTGGAGATTATGTTGACATATTTTTATCAATTCATTGCTTATATTGATATCGCAAATATGAAAAGTTCATGACCTGGTCAAATGTCACAACCAATTTACATAGAGAGATTTGCCCAGTGTCCAATGCTTATGTAACTCGGTGATGACTAAACAGTTTATTAAATTGTCTCTTGCAAGGGATATGTCAACACCTGTCCCAAGGCTGATATTCATCCCCAAATCTGCAATTGTCATTAAAAAATTAATTTATCAATGTATTTAGGAACTAATTACTCATTTTATGACTTTGTAGAGTCAACCTGTATTTCATCACCAATAAAGAAGAAAAAGGATTTTAATGGTAGTTTTATATCATTTCGTTGAATGCGGTCTTGAAATACAATGTTAAGGTATTTATCAGTTCAAGAAAATAACACCTTTAAAGAAATTTATATTTTGAACAATATCAACCTTTTCACCAAATTGCATGGAAGTGGAATTTTGTTTCGAATTCTAGATGAATACAGTCAAACACATTTTGTATTCACTTTGATTTGACTCTGCATATTCAATGTTTCGTCAAACACATTTGTGACTAATTTGTGACTAGCACTCCCTGTAATGCTAAAGCTCAAAATGAAGCAAGTCTAAATTTCCTCATGGTCTGAATTTCCCATCTCACTGGCGCTCCTTTTCAATTTATATGTTACTATCAAAATTCTATATATTCAGAGACTAAGTGTTCGTCTACTGTTCCCCCTATGCAGAAATGAAAAGAAATATTTTGAGTAATGATAACAGAGGTCCAGATAAGCTGCGTATCCGTGTAAAATACACAGAGAAAATTTCCAAGTATGCATTGAAAAATAATTGTTGCGTACCAGTTATGCATTTAAAATGTTAGATAAGCAAAAAGTTTAAAACAAATGCGTACGGAATATATTTATAAAAATCGCTTGCGTAATGAAAAAGACATCGATTACTATCAAGTTGTACTGTCAGTACAGGATGAGTGATTTTTTATGAAATCATTTCCATTATATTTAAGTTGGTTTTGATTCGGTATGACATAAGGCAGAACATACCTGCTAAACTTACTCAGTGACATAATACTTGGGTGAGTAAAATGACTGAAATATGCACATATTTGAAAGCAGTGGGTAACGGAAAATGTAATACCCACTCAACATTCATAAAACCCACTCCAAAAAAATGTGAGCTGAATCTTATCTGGAGCACTGGATAATATTTACTGCTATTTGTCATGGTATTTTGACTGTATCCATCATTTCAATTTCAAGTATACTGAAGCTTCTTGCTTCAATTGTCAAACTCATCCAAGCGTGATCATGTTAATACTGGTTGTTAACCCATAAACCATTAACAGCAGTCAGTCCTGTGTTTTCTACCTTGTTCTCATTGATTTTCAACAGTTGTATGGTTGAACTGAGTCTAACCATCAATGATAAAAGCCACTGTGACAGTTCCTGTTGAAACCAGCTAGACAAACTTAATGTGTTTCTGACAAGCCAGTTTAATAATAAGTCCATGTTTCCGTTAACAATTGTGGTCCTCCACCCAGTTGTGTGTAAAGCTGTTGAACAGCCTCATCAGGGTGGGACACTCCACCATCAGGGTGTGCTGTGTCATCTGAACTCTGATCCTTCGGGACAACTCACAACAACTGGGCTGTGTTTTGGTTGTAAGCTTATAGGACGAGGAATTTCAACTGGTATTTTTCAAACACGTTGTTAGCAGATGGTGCGTTGTCCCAGTGAAGAGGAAGGTTAGGTGTGTGTGTGTGTGTGAGAGAGAGTTCCACAGTAAGCTGAAACAGCTCAGCCTTACTGGACTAGGACAGTGAGTGTGTCAGCAGACGGATGTTTGTGAGGCCGCTAGTATGGACGTCTGCTACACTCATTCATACAATATGCACTGGTGAGTGATTTCATTCTGGTCAGGTTACAATGTCATGTTTTGCTTTGATAATTTTCTTTCAAATTATTCAACAAATGAATCAATTCTCTCAGTTAAGAGGGCGTTTTCTTGGTTGTCTAATGTGGTCACTGTATATATGGTAAACAGATAAAGACTGTTGTTAGAAATAAATTAATAATGAAATCTGAAATAAAGTTAATTAAAACTGTCATTAACATACTTAATTCTTGAGATCAGTTCTCGAGGGTGTTATATTTGGTATGACGTGGCAAGCTGTCACTTCAATGATCCTAAGTTGAATTGGTTTGGTAAGAAATTAGATTTGTAATATGAAATATAGAAATACATAGAGCCAATATTATTAACAGATTTTCAACACTGTACGAAGTCTAGACTGACATGTTTGTGTGGATTGTGAAAAAATCATTGCAAGTTATGTATATTATATTGTCCAGTGTTATATGGTGAGACTTACATACATATGTGATGATATATCTATGATGACAAGACACTGTTAAACATTTTAACAAAATAAGCGTCCTTATATATCCAATCTACAAAATTGCTTTCAAGTAATTGCATAGGACCCTGATTAACTGGGTGACACAATTCACGTTTGTGTATGTCGGTGTCTATTTAAATCTATTGAATACAGCATATTTATGTACTTGTTTGTTTGGAGATGATAAAAGCTGGGGTTGTTATTGTGAAAGCAGGTTGCGAAGCACTGAATGATCTTTTCAGTTTATAGTGCACAGGAATAAAGAGTAAACTTGGTCGACATTTGAGACATGTGGAGTAAGCTCGGTATTGCCACTTGCTGGTGCCACTGTGGCGGAGGCAGAGTCATCGTAGATTCTGCAGACAACATGTCTGCTCTAGAGTTTAGCTGTCTGGGAATTTTATTACTGTGTGACAACTTTCACAAATAATTTCGTTTTATGAGTGAAGTTTTGGAAAGCTATTTGATGCTACTTTTTATTGCCAGCCATATTGGAACTTTTAAGCTTTTGGGACAGTGTATAGAATACATGTGGTGCATTTTTTATTTATGGGAGCTCTGCGAATTTAATGGAAGCTTTTCTGTGGACATTGTATTGGGAATAATTAATTGTACTTTATCTTTAGTAGTGGCTAGTTTATGATCAAATGTCTTCCTCATGGTCGAGTGGAGAGACTCTCTGCATGGTTTAGGGGATAGGCTTTCTGTGTGGTAGGCCGTCTGCATGGGCTTGTGAATAGACCAATTATATGTTCTAGTGAATAGGCCATCTGAATGGTCAGACTGTCCACATTGTCTAGATTGTCTAGTGAATAGGCCATCTACATGGTCTTGTGAGTAGACCATCTCGCTGATGTAATGGAGTCCAGACTGTCCTTGGTCTATTGTGAATGATGTCCACATTGTGAGTGATAGGCCATCTGAATGGTCCACATTGTCTACATTGTCTAGTAATAGTGAATAGACCATCTGAATGTAATGGATATCAGACTGTCCTCAGTGAATAGACCATCTGAATGGTCAGACTTGTCTAGTGAATAGGCCATCTACATGGTCAGACTGTCCACATTGTCTTGTCTAGTGAGTAGATCCATGGTCTCGACCATATAATGGATATACCATCTGAATGGTCAGACTGTCTACATGGTCTAGTGAATAGACCATCTCGCTGGTGTAATGGATAGACCATCTGAATGGTCAGACTGTCTACATGGTCTAGTGAATAGACCATCTCGTTGGTGTAATGTATAGACCATCTGAATGGTCAGACTGTCTACATGGTCTAGTGTAGACCATCTCGGTGAATAGACCATCTGAATGGTGTGTCTACATGGTCTAGTGATAGACCAATGGATAGACCATCTGAATGGTCAGACTGTTTCTTCGTTTTAATGCAGGTGATTCTCAACTCATTTGTTATCAGAATCTCTTAGTTTTTGCAGGTGATTCACAACTCATTTGTTATCAGAATCTCTGACAGCAAAGATGGCATATTAATAATAATAATAATAATAATAATAGTGGATATTAAGGGGAAAACTATAAGCTTACGGGAGATTCTGCTGTAAAAATCCAACCAGGAAAATACTAGAGAATCTTCATAACCTGGTTCTTGTTTTTACATCAATATAACTTGTAATATAATGAAGTGTATGTATTGTGATACAGGAATTTTAAGTCAATGTATCGTATTGGGAGCCTCGTATCACCAGTTACACAGTATTGCTGTTTAATTTCACCACTGGTCTGAAGGTGGGTAATTCGTCACGATATGGCTGAGATATTGCTGATGTGACGTTAAATATTAACTCCCTCACTCACTGAAGGATGGTAAACTACCACATGGTATGTTGTGGGGCAAACAATATGTAACTTGTATCACTCCATACTGGGACAGGTATGCATGTTGCAACGTAAGTGCAGTAGTTTTGAGTGAAACATTCAACTAGGGCTGGGCAATATAACCGGTTTATCGGTATTTACCGGTTCACACATGAAAATGATACATATTGCGATACGCTGACCGAAAACCGGTATTTTGACATGCATTCGGAAAACTTCGTAACACTCGGAAATCTTGATGATTGTGGCAATTGTGGTAATGGTGGTGGGAATGGTTGAGCATTAACTTGATTATAAGTAGTTTTTTGTTAAAAAAACATCTCGCAATATATTGCAATACATATCGCAATGAATGCTTTCGCATTGCAATATATCAATATGAAAATTCTCTGCAATACCCATCCCTACATACCCCTGAAGAAGCAGCTTTGGTGATTTCCAGAAAACATAATCCTGAGAACATTTCATTATTCCTTTCAATATTCAGGAACAGAATATTTATGGAAAAGGAACTGCCAAGCCCTTCCCTACTTTTTGGTGGTTCTCAGGAAGAGAATATTTGAAAATAAAGAAATCATAGGCCTTTTTTATCCTCTTTCCCAATCTTAGAGCTGTGACTGTCTTAAGTTTATACTGAATTGTGGGAGTTAGGATTACCTAAAAGGGGCTCGTGCTGGTTATCGCTCTCAATATTCACATCTATAACCGGAGCTCAGTAATTGATCAAGAATCGATTATAATCGTAAACCTCACCTCAAAATTCATGTGGGCGATAAAGGGACACAATCTTAAAATTGTACAAATGAAACGATTAATAATACAATCAAGACTATCGAGGATACTTCCTGTTGAGACATGCAGACAAGTATGTTGTTTACGTTGCAGTTTTACGAGTCAAGAAGCTGAATCGGTTGTTTTGTCTCCTGATGTAACTAATATAACAATAAGAAACATTCTTTCTAAAGTTTCTATACTGTAAGCGTATTATATTTGATAGCATAAAAGCAAACAAGATTGGTTTTATTTTTCCATCTTTTCCAGCATTAAAACATTTTAGATCACTTTGCGAAAATTTATACACCTGTTACATGAATAAACCTGTCATTCATTCAGTCTAGCCATTCAGCTTTCGCCCTGAGTTGTTACCATAACACATCAAGTTTGAAGACAGAAATCTACGGGAATCTTAAAATGGCGACTGATAGTAGCATAAAGAATCATACTTAACTGTGGCTGTAATGGATTTCCCAAAACATAATTAAATAATGAGCCAAATCCATCGCGAATTAAGCGAAAACAGCAATGTGTGTTGTTGTGGCGCCATGGAAATTGGTCACATGACAGATGGTTTGATACAAAACAGATTACCATGAAGCGACTTCGGAAAGAAATAATACAGCAGTATTTTATTTATTCATTAAGATTTTATTTACCAGTACATCATGAAGCGAATAGTCACTTAACACTCAATCATCTCATTCACAACAACCCGGCTTGTTTGAAATCACAAAAGAGCTTCATATACAGTAGAAGTTAATTAAGTCAGATCGTCAGAATTGAACATAAGACTGATGTGTTTTCATCTCTTCCGTGAGTAAGCGGATTACTGTGTACTAGTATATCGCACAGATAGGGATTTCCTGTGAGTAAGCAATAAACGCCGCCTGACAGGTTAAGCCACTCTGTTTGTTTTCACTGCTATTAGTGGCGGCCAAAGAGACAGCTGGCAGTTCCGGCAATTACTGATTCTTGTCAATTCGAATAATTGACCACGTAAGTGCGATGTAGTCTAAACTGTCAATTCTGGCTTTCTCATCCTAAGAAGGAACCCAATCACAGCTGGGTGGGCTGTGACATAATATCAAAGTACTTTGTCCAAGTTCACTGCACACGTTGCTGTACCCACAACTAGGTGTTTGCAGCTATTCATGTGGCCACCACCTGGTCATATACCAATGGAAACGTGGGTTCTTTTAAGTGCACAGGGTTGTGTACTGTACACTAGGGGTTGTGACAACACTGAAAGAGTCTGCGCACAAAGTTGACTCCAAGGTTTTTACACCCGGTTTCAGGTGGGCTCGATCCTGGCACCTCAACCTCGCTGGATCACTAGCCTGGCGCCTTAGCCAGCTCGCCCACCGCGCCCCTAGATGAGTGAGTGAGTGAGTTTAGTTTTACGCCGCACTCAGCAATATTCCAGCCATATGGCGGCGGTCTGTAAATAATCGAGTCTGGACCAGACAATCCAGTGATGAGCATGAACATCGAGTTTCGGAATTTTGCGCAATTGGGAACCGATGACATATGTCTGAACCAAGCCAGCGAGCCTGACTACCCGATCCCATTAGTCGCCTCTTACGACAAGCATGAACCGGTTACTGAAGGTTCATTCTAACCCGTACCTTCACGGGTGGATGAAGATGAAAGCACAATATTCCATTTTATTACCTATGAGGGCGAAAATATCTGGGTTTATATTTTTCATACGATGTCCTCAGGGCAAAATATCACTTTGTCATGGTGACGTGACTTCATGAACACTGCTATGACGTCACGTTTCTTCTGTGACGTTGCGTTCTACATGCGGCTATGTTTGAAAGTAGATTTGAGCTTAATTTCAATTTGACGACTTCGGTAATAAACAGAATATTATATT